ACTCTTGCTCGAACTCGTGGGAGCTTTTGTTTGGGTCGAGGTGGGGCATCTTCTTCATCATCTCATTCTTCTTCTTGGTCTTCTTCGTTGTTGATGTTGTCATTCTCTTGTCGAAGTGGAGAAGGAGGTTGATGAGGTTCATCTTGATGTACTTCCTCGTTTTCTTCATCTTGGTGTGTTCCACTTGTGGATGCTTCCATGTCAACTCTTGGTTCACCTTGTCGTGAGGTAGAAGCTTTCACTTGGACAGACGAGGTACTCTCCTTGACCTCCGTTGGACGAATCTTGCCAATAGACAAGTCTTGGATTGCTTCCGGAGTGTCTTTGTCTCCTACATCAATTGGCAATTGCTCTACTTGCGAGCCGTTATATTCATCAAACTTCACATCTACTGTCTCTTCAACCTTTCGGGTGAAATTCAAATGGTTGGAATGGAATATCTTGGTCTCAACACATGAGTAGGTGGTTTTCTCTCAGAAAATGAATGCTGAAGTGTAGGCACGTTCTGATGGCTCTCCTTGCTAATGAAGGAAGGGTGGAGGGGTATATATAACCTCCACACAAAATCTAACCGTTACACACAATTTACCAAACTCGGTGGGACCGGATCAGAAAACTCGGTCGGACCGATTCAATTCGTATTGTGACCGTTAGGCATTTCGGTGGGACCGATATGGTCAACTCGGTGGGACCGATGTGCTAGGGTTAGGGTAAAACCTCATCTCGGTTTGACCGATTACACAAACTCGATGGGACCGATTTTGGTAATAAGCAAAACAGAGAGTTGGTCAGGCAAACTCGGTGGGACCGAAATAATTACAATAGATAACAGAGAGTTTGCGAGCCCATCTCGGTGAGACCGAATTGATTAGGGTTTCTGGCAGTGGCTATGTCAAGTGAACTCGGTGGCGCCGGATAGAACATTTCGGTGGGGCCGAGTTTGACTTTTGATTTGGGACATATGTGGATATGAGAAAGTGGTTGAGGGTTTCGGAGCATATCACTAAGCACTTTGAGCAAGCAAGCCATAGAGCAACACCTCATCCCCTTTTAATAGTATTGGTTTTCCTATGGACTCAATGTGATCTTGGATCACTAAAATGAAAATGTAGAGTCTTGAGCTTTTAAGCTTGAGCCAATCCTTTGTTCTTAGCATCTTGCAGGGGTTCCACATCCTCTTGTCCACGCTACTCCATTTTGGAACTTATCTGAAATATAATAGATAAAGACATTAGTCCAACAAAAAATATGTTGACATTAATTACCAAAACCACCCAGGAAGCACTTGTGCTTTCAGTATTAGCAAAATTCAAGCATTTCTCTTTTTCATGCTCAATTAAGTCATTAATTATAGCAGATCTACTAGTTCCACCATTACCAATAGTAATATCAACTTTATCAGCTTGACCAGCAAGTGAATCATTGCTAAAAATAGCAAAGGTTATTCATCATCTCCTTAGGGTGTGTTTGGTTTCAGAACCAAGTGGAGTGTCATGGAACCATTTCATTCCATCTTGGTATTTAGCTACAAGAGACTGAGGTAGGATGGAACGATTCCTGGGGTCAAAATTTGATCGATGCTGGACTTGAGGAAGAACGCCAAATTGACCACGACGGTCAGGCACAATCGTTCTCTTGGAGTGGTTGCTCCGTCCAGTGCGGCGGTCGACTAAATGTGAGGTCCCCAATAGTGCACAACCATGGCTCTCGACGGTGTGTGCTCAAGCGCGGCGGCCGGCTTGATGCCATGCTCCCGCTGGCGCACGACCACGACTCCCAACGGTGTGGGGAGGAGGGGTGTCATAGGAGAGAGCGGTTCCGCATATCGCATGATCCATCGTTCCATGGAATTTGTTGATTGCAACGTGGGAATGGGTCATGTGGATGGAACCGACCGACCCGTGCCGTAACACTTCGTGACAACAACCAAACACACCCTTGTAATAAGCAGGCTAACGTACCTTCTGGTTTGCTTGGTCTCACTAACATTTTTTTACGGTACTCAGCCTTATGTTTGTTTCCCCCTGACGACGTATTGGGCCAGCCCATTTACGTGCGCCCATTTGTAAAAATAGGGGGCGAAATGAGAGATCGAACCCAGGTCTTCAGCGAAGACGCACACCGCGCTAACCACTCGACGGTGGTTCGTTTCATGCTATGTAAAAGGGGCGCATCCTACTTGAGGGTAATCCAGCCTTTTTTTGTTTTTCTTTCATTCTTTGTGCATTTTGTTTTTATTCGGTTAATATATGTTCGTTTTTTTTACATTATTCTATTTTTTGTATCGTTTTCATTCTCTTCTCCATTTTTGGTTTGGTTTGGTTTTTTCTTCACCATTTTCTTCTTGATTTTTCTCTTTTTCTCTCCATTTTTTTGTTTTTTTATGTTTGTTTTCGTTTTCACTCTATATTTTCGCAAGTATCAAAAACATCTTTTAGTAAGTGATCAACACTTTTCGCGCACACGTTCAACATTGCCCTGAATGCTTCTTCAATATTTTTCAAATACTTGTTCAACATTTTAGTACTTATTCAACATTTTTTAAATACTTGTTCAACATTTTTCAATTACTTGCGCAACATTTTTAATACATATTCAACATTTTTTGAATACTTGGTCAACATTTTTTAAATACATATTCAACATTTTGAAATAGTCGTTTAATATTTTGAATACTTATTCCACATTTTCAAATACTTTTTCAACATTTTTCGAATACTTGGTCAACAATTTTTAATACTTATTCAAAATTTTGAAATACTTGTTCAATATTTTGTATATTCATATTTAACATTTTTTAATACTTATTCACATTTTCCAAATGTGTTCTTGAAGAATGATTTTTTGTATATATATATATATATACATCTAGAATATTTTAAAAGTATGAAAAAGCATAAACATAAAGCAAAAAACAAGAACAGAAAAAAAGAAAAAGAAAAGGTCGCGGCCTCCCACGCGGGTGGACCGGCCCATCTGGGCTCCCACCGACGCGAGCCTTGCCCCTGTGCTCGCTTAATGCGAGACATAGGGGCGCCCTTTGGTTGGACCGTGTCGAGCCCAGTAGTTCCTTTAGTCGGGCTCATTTTGGGCCTTGATCCGGGGCTTGGGCTTGTCGACTGACCTTTGGGATGATTTTTTGAACTGCTTCTCCAAAATCACTAGAAGCTCTTCAACCTAGCGTTGCTTGCTAAGCAGGCATGGCACATTCTACAATATCCTGACACCCTTTGTCCCATGAAGCTGAAAGCTATTTATTTCCCCGCTGGTAATATTTTGTCAGTAGAAGTTGGGAACCATCCTTCACAGATATGGCGAGCAATAGTTGAAGGAAGAGATGTACTACGCCAAGGCTTGATCCGAAGAGTTGGGGACGGTTCTTCAATCAATATTTGGTCGGACAACTGGATCCCTAGAGATGAAAACATGAGACCGATTGTGTGCCTCGCGGCGGTCCGCGCCATCTTGGTTAGTGAGCTCATAAATCATGTTGATGCCTCGTGGAATAGGGAGGTATTACAACAAACTTTTCTCCCCGCCAATGTGGATGCAATCTTCAGCATACCACTTTGTATAAGAAATAATGAGGATTTCTGGGCATGGGATTTCGAGAAGAATGGTTTGTTCACAGTGAGGTGGGTGTACCACATGCTCACCCACACACAGCGCCGACGGGAGGCTTGGCTCGATGGGTGTGCGAGCTCCTCCAATTCTGGAGCCGAGGAGAATGAATGGAAGCAGCTCTGGCAGGTGGATGTCCCAGGAAAGCTACGCAATTTTTTGTGGAGACTGGCAACGCATTCTATTCCAACTAAAGACGTCTGGCATCATCGACATATTTCATGATCTGATAGTTGCCAGTTGTGTGGAGCGACAGACTCATGGCGTCATTCCCTACTCGAGTGCACAGCGTCGAGGTGTGTCTGTGCTTTTGTTGATAGCGACTTAGCTGAGCACTTAATTGCTACGACGGGCCCAAGCGCAAAACATTGGCTCTTTGGGATGATGGATACTTCATCACATGAAAAGTTTGTCACCCTCACGGTGACTCTCTGGGCTATATGGACAGCAAGGCGGAAGGCCATCCATGAGTCTATTTTCTAAAGTCCTCTGGCCACACATATATTCATTCAACGCTTCATTGCTGAATTGGAGAGCATCAAGAATGCCCCTAGACCGATGAGACCTACTCCCTTTGCAAATGTTTGGCTGCACTAGGTTTGGACGCCTCCTTCAGCAGGGATGTTTAAGATCAATGTGGACGGAGGGCTCTCCCGAGATGGCTTCATGGCACACCCTCTGCTGTATGCCGTGATGACAAGGGCCTTCTCTTAGGGTCCTCGGTGATGGTTTTTCCAGGCATTAATAACCCAGTCTGTCTTGAAACACTAGCATGTAGAGAAGCGCAAGCACTTGCACAAGATCTGAATCTAGGAAGAATCATCATCTCATGTAATAGTGGAGTGTTGTCATTTATCAATGATATAAAGCATGTCTCACAAGGGAAGAATAGTTCAAGAGATCAATGCGAATCAACAACTTTTTAAAGCATGTGATATCATCTTCGAAGATAGGACACAAACAAAGAAGCTCATAGCTTGGTTAAATTTTCGGTTTCACTTAACCAGGGTCACCGTTTGTGGCTGGGCTATCCACATTACCCTTTTTGTATTCATTTGAACTTCCCAATTAATCAATAAAGTGTCCTTCACCCCTAAAAAAACTAGAAGCACCCACGTGTAGGGCCCCCCTCCAAAAAAAACACGTGTAGGGCGGTGTGTATATGGACGGGTTTTTTAAATTCGTTTTGAAATTCATCATGCACGGGACATGGCCCGTCCCCGTCGTCGAACAAAACGACAATCCCGTCTGCCGTCTTCTGTGCCCCCTCCGTCCTCTCCGCTGTGCGGCCACAAGGATAAGTTTCTTCCTCGAATAGCTACCACCTACCAGTCACTCCCCCACGCACCCATCCACTCACAGCACCAAAAAGGGGCGGCATGGCTCTGGCCGCCGCCGTCGCCGTACCGTTCCTCCTCCACGCCCGCCTGGGACCGCGCTTCGTGCCGGCGCTGTCCCCCCGCCGCCTGCTGTCCTGCTCCACAACCGCCTATGAGCCCCCTCACTCCGCGCGGCCGCCGGCGTCGAAGCAGGCCGAGCCCGTGTCCCAGGTGCCGTGGAGGGCCGCAGAGGCCGAGATCCTCAGCCACGTCGAACCCATCGTGCAGCTCATCAAGGACATCCTCCATTCGGACAGATACGCAGACGGCGAATGCCTTGGTCCCGCCGACGAAATCGTCGTTGCGGAAAAGATCCTTGCCTACCATCCACGCGCTGAAGATAAGATTGGCTGTGGGCTTGACGGTATCATGGTCGATAGGCACCCGCAGTTCAGGAAGTCGAGATGCCTCTTCGTAGTTCGCACGGACGGCGTCTGGATCGATTTCTCGTACCAGAAGTGCCTCCGTGAGTACATCCGGAGAAAGTATCCATCGCATGGGGAGCGATTTATACGAGAACATTTCAAGCGAACCTGAAGGCTAGTTTAGCTGATCCTTTAGTAATGCAAAAAATGTTGTATGTTTTGAAATCCCTTGTCTATATTATTGAGCAAATTAGCTTATGTTTGTTTGTTTCAAAACAAAAGAAGAAGAAGGGTAGGCATCATTGGTGATCTAGTTTGGTTTAGTCCTCTGTTTGTCTTGGGTTTATGCAGGCGTTTATGACTGGCCGGAAGTCCCCGAGCATGTCGGGTTCACTTTGGGCCTTGGTCCAGACCTGGGCTACTTTCTTTTTCGACTGGCGTATGGGATGATTTATTATTGATGAAAAATACGGAGGCCGCTGAATACTGTGATGCCTCTGGTTCAGAGGATGAGTTTCAACAAGTCATCCATCCACTTTACAAAGGATTGTCCGTGCGTTCTTATGGATGAAATCAAATCTGGTCTGGAGATTTGCCGGACATCCTTCAAAACATTCGGGCGGCGCGTGGATCCTTCCCAATGAAATACTTAGGCCATCCGATCTCCGTGTGGCAGCTCAAAAAGGTTGACTTCCAGTTCCTAGAGGATAAGGCGGCGGCAAAGTTGGTCCCTTGGGACGGGCAAATGATCACGCCCATGGCACACACCATCTTGGTCAAGTCGGTGCTTTCCTCCCAAGCCATCTACTTTATCACTCCGCTCGTTGTCCCTCTAGCACCCTCAATAATCTTAACAAGTTTAAGCGCGCATTCCTTTTTGAGGGGACTAACAAGACCACTGGGGCCAAATGCAAGGTCAATTGGGACTCCGTTTGCCGCCCAATTGCCTATGGGGGTCTTGGGAGTGCTAAACACGGGCAAATTTGTTGGGCGCTAAGACTACGTTGGTGTTCGCACACGAACACGTCACGTGTACCCTCGACGCCGGGGGTGATGCACCGCAGCTCACGTCGAAGGAGACCCGACCGACAGCGCGATACGCAAGACAGTCGGCGGGCACTTTTGTAGACCCGAAGCCCCACTTGCCCGGGAGGGACCCCGTCAGGGCTCGCGGCGGCTATGGGCTGCCCTAGGTCGATTCGCTCGCCCCTAGAGCCTCGTGGATCGCTGCCCTCCAATGCGAAGAACGAACGAAGAACGAGAAAGAAAGATACAAGGGCAGGGGATAAAGATAGATGAACACAAAAGTGTAATAGATTGATTGGTTCGATTGGTGTTGTTCAATCGGCCGTCACCCCCAACATATATAAGAGGCGGCTAGACTTCCCGTACAAGTAAAGGATTCATCTAGGCTTTCCTTACAAGAAAAATTACATCAATTCACGTCCTAGAGTCCTAGTTCTATTCCAACTCTGATTCAGTCTGAATCTGGCCCAAACTCTGTCTTCCTTCTTGCACGGGCCGCCGAGCTTGCATATGATCTCCGATCAAGATGGCCCAAATATCAAACTTGTGCGCCTCGATGATACGAACAACTCTCATGTTGATTACTTTTTCAAATAAGGCCATCTTGAATACTCTTCGAGGTCATCTTTACCTTCCAGTCGGACTCGGTCTTGCAGTAGACTGGATTATCCGAGTCTCATAGTGAACTTGTAGGCCATATACTATCTTTGATGATGATGACTCCAAAACCAAAGTTTACCGTCTTGATGATACGCACAACTTCCGTGTTGATCACTTTTCCATCCGAGGTCATCTGGATTACCTTTCGGGCACATCTTCAGTTTCACTCGGATCCGAGCTCATCCACTCGGATATTAGAGTTTTTCGTCCGACTGGACCTTTTCACTCGGATGTTAGAGTCTTTCACTCGGAAGACAATCTTTCACTCGGATGACTATAATTTCACTCGGAAGACAATCTTTTACTCGATCGATAAGTTTTCACTCGACCTTTTACTCGATCGGTAGGTTTTCACTCGGAATATCTTTACCTGGAGGACAATTTCACTCGGATGACCATATTTCCACTCGGATGACTATATTTTCACTCGGAAAGGCAATCTCTTACTCGATCGGCAAGTTTTAATTCCGACGGTAATATCTTTACTCAGATGATAATAAATTCACTCGGATGTCAAACTTTCACTCGACCGGTAAGTTTTCCCTTGAAAAGTAAGCTTTCACTCGATCGGTAAGGTTTTACTCGAAAGGTAAGCTTTCACTCGACCGGTAAGTTTTCACTCGGATGTCAAACTTTCACTCGACCGGTAAGTTTTCCCTTAAAAAGTAAGCCTTCACTCGACCCGTAAGGTTTTACTCGAAAGGTAAGCTTTCACTCGACCGGTAAGTTTTCACTTGGATGTCAAACTTTCACTCGATCGGTAAGTTTTCCCTTGAAAAGTAAGCTTTCACTCGACCGGTAAGGTTTCACTCGAAAGGTAAGCTTTCACTCGACCGGTAAGTTTTCACTCGGATGATAAGCTTTTCACTCGACCGAAAACATAGACTGATCTTGATTTGTCTCCCCAGGTCTCATACGACCTCGGATTGAGAAGAATTATATATGAAAATCGATCGGCTTGACGAGACGAAACTTTCTCGTGTTGAAGGTTTTTCAATTCAAGGCCGTCTTGAAGGCCGAATTGCTCACGCATTGCATCAGACACTCATCATGTGTCTGGTGTCAAGCGTAATATTTTGGTCTCTGGCCTGTCCAGACCGTATTGACTATAACTTTTGCATATGAACTCGGATTGAGATGATTTATATATGAAAATCGATCGCCTCGACGAGACGAAGACAACTCCTTCAGAGCACTCCTTCATCTGAGGCCATATTGAGGGCGTAATCGGCCGAAAAGCACTCAGAACATTAAATTTTGTCACTCGGAGTACAGCTTCGGGCCACTGAGATGAGGTCGGATGTTGATGACTTAAAAATCAAAGTTGTTCCACTCGGCGGCCTGAAACTTTTCATGCTTAAAACTCTTTCACTTGAGGCCATCTTACTTGCCTTTTGTTCCTTGCCAAAATCCGGTGTCAACACATGCCCCCCTGTTTTCTGGCAGAGCTTGCGTGCCAGAAAATACTTCTTTTAAACACGATGTCAACACTACATCGGCTGTGCATGCTGAAGACGATAATTGTTATCGGCCATATGCTTAGGCTTGTTGTTTCTTGGGTAGAGCATTTTCAGATAATAGTCGTCTGAGAACAACCATTGGATGCCACGAATGCCTTCATGTCAGTCTCTCATGTCAATCCTTGACTTGACCTTTATCCAAGTACTCTATGGGGATATTAGAACCATTCGTGATACCGGATGCCAAAAGATTATGTCCATGAACCTTAAAGGAACCATCAACTATTCGGTGAGTCACCTCATTGTTGATAAAAAATACTCCATCAAGTCTCTGCCGAATAATGTCTGTCTCCTAACTTGGGTCCTGCAGATAAGAGAAACTTTCTCCAGCCAGCTATATGACTCGCACTAGATCCATCAATGGCCGACTCCACCGTGGAGTCAGCCGCAACTCGTGAGGTCAATGTTTGAGTGATTCGTCGATGCATATAAGGATAACATTTGTTGGACGGTTGGCGACGAATCATTGTGAACCTTGATGCATACAACTCTTGTAGTGGTTAGAAGTCCTTTAGCCCGAATAACACAGCATATTCGGCTTGATTATTAGTCGTGTAAGCTCTACCCGACAAGAAGTCTTGAAATCCATCCCGTGAAGAAATATGTCAATAATACCGACTCTGGGCGCTGCTAAACTGAATCATGAAAATAATCTCCACAAGACTTTGACTTGGCATCCAGGGAGCACCGACTGATAAATGTGATGTCACACCCCTGTCCTTCGGTCTCTGAGTCAACATTGCCTTGCCCCCCGAGTGAACGAAGCTTCATTCATCTCGGTGACACACTTTCTCTGGATCACCACAATGAACACAATTAGTCAGATGCCAGCTTTGTCAACACAATGTACTCTTAGGGCGATATGCAAATATCGGCCAAATGTCCTTATCTCATAGGACATGGAGAACCCGTCCACCAAAGTGTGAATAGCCGAAATAATTCAGATGTTTCAGCTGGGGATAAGTTCTGGGACGCTTTCTTTGATGGAACGACTGAAGAACATGGACGATGTGCCATTTGGAGTCTCCTATAATGAGATGAAAACTGTCGACTCTGCCTGCCGGCTTCACACTTGTCCTCTTTTACTCTTGCTGACTTCGCAATAGGAGATATGGTGCCGCTTTTGAGTCGAGGATTTCCCTTGGGAACCCAAGCCATGTTCCTCTTCTCCACCTCTTTGGCCCTAAGCCAATTCAGCTTTTTCTGTTGCGAATATGGTAAGCCGAGTGGGCATCCCGGCTGTGACTTTGGTTTACGCACTGGCAAGTTCTTCCTGGCTTTGGGCACCTCCAGCTTGGCCTTTCCAAACTCCGCGATTGGATCCTTGAAAGTTACTTGCTTCACTTTCTTGTCCTTAGTAGTCAACATAGACTCGACTGTCTTTTTGTCATCTAGAGTCGGATCTGAAATAGCACATTTGCGGCCATCCTTTTTCACTCGGTATACTTGCTTGACCACGTCCATCTTCTTCGCTGAGCTCCAGACCGATACTTTTTGGTTGAGTCGGTCTTTAGCATGTGGTTGTTGAACAAACGATGATCCTCTAGGAGCTGCATAATTTTGTTGAGGTGGTTTAGAATATGATGGATGGTGTGCCCTTGATTTATACTTGCCCCATGATTGATATGAATAATAGTCGGCAGGGGGAGGTATCCATGACATCGGCATTGGTGGCCCAAAAGGAGGATATGGAGTCTGCTTGCTCAACATTTCAAATTTATGCCTTGGGGGTGACTTCGATGCTTTTGTTTCACTCGGCCGATAAGCACTCTTTGCCTCACTTATCTTCTGATATTTTTCTAATAACTGTGCGAAAGTGACTTTCGGCTTTCTACCTTTGTGCTTACCATGGCCTTTGCTTTCTTTAGTTGTGTTTGCATCGGTCTTCGAATTTTCTGGTTGCCCCCCAGTGCTAGATGTCTCCATTGTAGATTTCATGGAATTCTCATCTTCGAGATTGTTGTGG